ATCTATCTATCTATCTATCTATCTATCTATCTATCTATCTATCTATCCATCCATCCATCATCATTGAAAACTATTGTTTTCTTTCTCAGTCTGCTTCTGTTTTAGCCATTCATATATGAAAAAGTTCAGCTTATTCTGAAGCTGGGTGCTTTTGCTTTTGTTTTTAGTAACGTTTTGTACATTTTGATTTTCTAATATTTTTTCCAGAGATAGATGATATTTGTCCTCCAAAATATAGAAACCCCCTAAAAAATAATTTCCAGTTCTTTCTGAAAACATTTTTCTCTTTGAAAATTGCTTCACTTGCTTTATTATTTTCTTTTTGTACTCTTACTTCTTTTAGCTACTGTACAATCTTTAGCTACTTTTAACTTAGCAACATTGTTAGCTTTTAGCTAGACATTTTGCTGCTTTTAGCCAACTTCTTGTTGCCTTTGCCTTTTAGCTAGTTTTTTGAGCTAGCTCTTTTAAGCTAGCATTTTGCTACTTTTAGCTTGTTTTTACTTTTAGCTTTTAGCTAACATTATAGCTACTTTTAGCATCTATCCCGCTTTTAGCTTTTTTATTATTAGCTTTAGCTTCCATCAATATCTTTGCTACTTTTAGCTATCCTTTAGTTACTTTTTTTGTTTGTTGTTTTAGCTCTGAGCTGTTGTTTTATTTTCTTTAGCTATTGTTATGCTTATTTTATCTTTAACAACTCAGTTTCAGCTCCTTCAGCTAATTTCAGCACACAGCATTCGTTTTCATCTAAAGTATCATATAGCTGTCAAACTGCTAACGGAGCTGTGGGTTTTGAACGTGTCTCCTCCTTTGATAATGATTCCTGCAAAAGTGTCGTCACGTGATTTTGAAGAGGAAAGTGAAACAAATTGGTTGTAAATTTTACAAATATTTGGAGTTATGTTTCCAGGAATCTATGATGTCTTTTTTATTTTCTTGTTCATGCTGGTTCATGTTGCCGACCCCCCACCACCAACAGCACCAGTCAATATTTCATCTGAACAGTTTTACGCAGCTGGCTGCGCTGCTATAAAGACTTTTTTGAGTGTACTCCATTCATTTAAACATTCAAGATGCAACCAGCAGAGTCCTGTTGATAGTTTTAATTCAGTGAAGATCTGATTTTGCTCGCCTCAGCAGCAGTGCGCAGTTTGGACCATTATATGGCCGTGTTCTAAACTTGGAGCTCTCACTTTGGCGCTAAATGAAAAGCCGTGCGGTTATCACGTCTTTCAGCTGCGATACGAGTATTGATCCACGTGCCACGTTTAAAAAGGAGAGTGGGAACTGGCGTATTGATCAGGCAGCCTGGGGTCACCCCGCTTCTGGCGGCGCAACCAGTTGGCCCTGCAGACCCACCACCAACTGCGCCTTACACGCACACATCACACGCACATACACGCAGAAACAAGCGTCATGGGAGTTTTTTTTTATTATTATTTCCATGTTTATAGTGAATCGCCTGGGATTTGTGATGTCGATCAAAAATATAGACCTACAAACTTGGTTTACAACAGCGCGCGCGAACGTGAGTGTCCCTAAAGCAGTTATTGATATTTGAGGTTTCTGTGGAGTTTACTATTAAAAAAAAAAAAAAAAAAAAAAAAAAGCCCTGGTTCTTTATTTTAAAGACTACACAGCCCCTAAATGACAGGAAGTCATGCTGTTTGCGTGTTGGAGCCTCAGTGCCTCGGGTCAGAACCCAGAGCTGTCCATGGTGCTGAATATTTTAGATTTCGCTGTTTGCTGACAACACGTGAAATGATCCGTTTGACTCTGAGGACTCACCGGCCAGTCGGAGAGCTGACATCCGCTGAAACTCGGGCTCCTGCAGCCACTTCCACATCCTCCTGAACGTCTCCCGGCCTGACTTGAGCTTACTCCAGGGTTTGGGGTTCCGCAGCAGGTCGGACAGGGTGCCCTGCGAGCGGCTCAAAATCCGCTGCGCGAATATGGCCTGCGGAATGGAGTAGCGCTTTAACTCGGCCGTTATCCTCTGAGCCACCTCCTTCGTGTTGATCTCCTCCGCCTGGATGTTTGACCCCGACACCCCCTGTCCGCCTCCGTGGCCGTGCCTCTCCCGGTCAGCCAGCATCACCGCTCCGTTCGCCTGGGAGTGGAGGTGGCTGTGCGGGTGATGGTGCATGCCGTTGAGGTTGGAGATCAGGCCGTGGCCGTGGCCCCCTAAACTCCTGGCCAGGTGCTCCTGGTCGCTTCGGGTCAACATGGACGCGTGGGACTCGAACCCTGACACCGGAGAGATCATTTTGGAGTCGGTGGAGAGGTGCGCACCGGGGCCGTATGCTGATAGAGACTGCTGGGAGTTGTGCAGAGACAGCCCGCCGGACAGCGGGGACAGCGAGCCGTGACCCATGCCGGACACCGACATCTCTTTGGGGTACACCGACATCTCTTTGGGGTAGTGACTGTACAAATTGCCCATAGACGTGAGTCCTCGGTGGTCGTCCCGCATCAGCGTGAAGCTTCCGCTGACGTTGCCGGCGGAGAGTCGCTGGTGGGCGGCAGCGTGGTGGTGCGAGTGCGGGTGGTGAAACTTCTCCGCCACGGTGGAAATCGGAGGTAGATGCTGCAAGGGGGTCAGGGTGGTGTATGTGTTACTAAGGCTCATCCCGGTGTCACACATGCTGATGGAGGGGTGGAGGTGTCCCGACAGGGCGGACGGGTCTGTCCTGTAATCCCCGCCGGACCCCTCAAGGAGGGAGGCCATGCCGGAGACCATGGCTGACCGCGCGCCGGGGACGTGCGAGACCAGATTCCGGGGTGTCGCGCTGGGGGACGGCGACGGCCGAACGTGTGGGGAGCTCATGAGGTCCCCCGCCTGGGAATGCGACGGGACGCTGTGCAAGTTGTCCATGGTGAGCTCCATGGCTGAAAGAGTCTCCTCGTCCCTCCCGCTCCCACTGTCTGTCCCTCTGGCTGCTCTCTCAGAAAACCAGCTCTTTCTTCCACTCAGCCCTCCCGGAGAAATAAAACCATCAGTCCGTTTGAAAGCAGATCCATTGACTCATATTCACCGATGGATCCGGTGCTGAAGAGAAGTTCTGGCGCTCCTGATCAGAACCGACGGGCTCTGCGCTCTGGTGATTCTGGATGAGCTCTCCAGCGCGTCGTCTCATCTGTGGTCCAACAGCGCTTCCACTGAGAGCAGGAGGCAGGAGCCGCGCGCGTGCCAGAGACAAGGGGGCGCGCCTCTGTATTAAATATGTGGACGGGCACGCGCAGAGGGTTTTAACAATCGTCCTCACTGGGATAAGTTATGGGAAGCACATACTCTACTGTATATTTAAACTCACTCACCCGTTTTAAGATAATCTATCACTTGTTTGTAAATAACCACTGCTCTTCACACCTTCACCTGTGCACGTGCGGCAAAGACACGCAGGTGACATCCCCACTTTTTAATTTTTTTTGTACTGTCTGTTTATAAGAACACGCGAGTTCCTCTCGGATAAACTTTGTTTTCCCACGGACTGTATGGTTTAGCATTCATGCGCTCAGTGATAAACCTGATCGAAGTATTGACTGACAGAGATTAATGACGTGGCGCGAGGTGGGTTCGGGCGAGAGGCGCGGAGGGGGGGTGGGGTGTTCGGTGGGTAAAAGTGGAGGTCACAAAGTTAGGATCCCGATGAGATCCTGGTTGATCTGAGTAACCTGAGAGAGGAACCGACTTTTGGTTTGAGAGAATGGTCCCAAAATTCAGACAGCGACGGAAACAATCTGCGCAGAAAATACGTCTGAAAACATCTGCATGCTCAAAATTCGTT